GAAGGCGAATTAAATTCTAAGGTGAAATCGAATTGAGAAGCTTTAGTTGGTGTTGCTGTTGATATACGAGTCGATCTTGTAGTATGATCATCATCATCGGATGATACTTCAACGACGGCGGCAATTGGTTTCTGGTAAATCGAATCACTAGTGCGTCTCATCTACAATAGAAAAGAAACATGTTGAAAGACAAGATTTATTCATCATCTTCATTATCATTTAGTGAAGGAAGTGAAAACAGTTCAGGTATATGATCAGTCAGATATTCTTGAGTAAGTTTTAATCGTTTACTTGATTGATCCTCTTCATCGCCACTTGCATCACTTTCATCGTAGGATCGTTTCAAACTGTCGAGCTCTTTGACTTGTCTATCGTAATGAATTTCTTTCACTACTTCCACTAGAGGTGTCAATAAATCGTGCTGTATGAGTTGACGATAAAACTGTGCATCGATTTTAATTCCAAATTTGGCTAAAACACTGGTGAGTTGTTGATTCCGTTTGGATTCATGTTTGACAATAGCTAGAAACTCGTCCAGAATCCCTACTTTTCTCATTTGCTTGATATATGCTGTTGATAAGGAGATATTTTCGTCGACCAGAGCACAAAAAATATCAATATTCCTTGTAGTTTCACCCGGGTGAGGGTGTGGGTGTGAGAACAATTACCACGAATACTAAAGTATTTTCACTTTTATAGATAAAGATTATCAAGTGGCAAGTATTTGTGAGTGCAAGCTGCCATGACTAGTTTCGTCTTTATCAGAGACTTATCAAATGGCATCTATTCATAAAAAACAATTTCTAATGATTAAATTCAATAAAAATCAAATCTAATCCTCAAAAATCATTCCAAATGAACAACTACTCTGTTAAAAATCCAAAATTCACAAAATCAAAGCTAAAAAGCTCTAAAATTGCAAATTCAAAACTTATCGATTTGAAAAATTCGAAGGGTAGAAACTGGCATGAAGGGTTTTGTACGTAGTAAAATGGATTATCAAATGGCTTATAACTCTAAATTCGGATCTAGTATCATTATTGCATTGCAAAGCAAGGAAATAATAATATGGAATCGAAAGTCATAGAAACCATGAGGAAATTGTGGAACAGTGTTTACTCACTTTATTGGTGATGTTGAATAAATGGCGGATTGAATAGGTTTTTTGTGAAAGGGAAGAAGTTGTAAGTTTTGGCTGTTGCATGACATCGTTTGATTGAAAATTAGAAGATTTGTGTGTTGTGGAACAGTTTCACTGTTTTTTGTTTTGATTGTGAGATAATCTGTTAAATGTGTATTCTGTAGAGAACTGTTTTCCCTTCGATATTGTATACTTAAAACTATGCCATACCACCTTCTTTTAGATTAATTTAATAAAGAAACCAAAGAATTCGTTTTGAGCGAGCTTTACAGGAGCGAAATCCGCCCGATCCCTTTGATGAATCAACTACGAGAAAGGGTTCTAGTATTGTTTAAACTAAACAGTTCGATAGAAAAAACGATTCTCTACAAAACGCATATCTAACAGATTATGTTGTATTCGAATTAACGAAATAGTGCAGTAGTTTGCGTTTAGGATCGGAAATATCTCTCGATCGCGATGATGGATTCTAATTTGAAGATGCTTGTGATGATCTGATCTCCGATACAAGAGCTGATATATGATAAGTATATCCTGTATTCAATGGAAAGAAATCGTATCTCTACTGTATGTTTCTCGTCCTTTCATTGGTGGACAACCGAAAGAACGTATCAGGCAGTAAGCGAAGCTTTTCAGAATGAATTTCCAGATGACAAAATGCCATGCAGACAAGCAATTTATAAACTTGCAAAGAAGTTTTGAAGTGGAAGACCTCCAGCAGTACGAACTGAAGAAAACATTGAACGTGTGTCAGAAGCTTTCCGTGCGGATCCACAAACATCTCAATGATTTGCATCATATGATCTTGAAATTTCACGTACAAGCTTACAACGTATTATGAAACATTTCAAGTTAAAGCCATATAAACCACGATTATTACAAGCCTTGAACGAATATGATCCGGACCAACGAGTAGAATTTTGTGAATGGATCATAAATTCTACAGAAGAAGATTTAACTGTGTTAGATCAAATTCTATGGACGGACGAAGCTATCTTTCAAATAAATGGTCGAGTTAATAGACACAATTGTGTATACTGGAGTGATTCAAATCCGCACCTTATCATCGAAGAAGAACTCAATGTACCACGTGTAGCTGTGTGGGGAGGAATCTGGTCTGATGGAGTTATTAATCCATATTTTTTTGATAGTAATGTTACATCACAAAATTATCTTGAAATGCTGAAGCATACTATCGTATCACAACTTCAAACACATCCAACTTTCCCGACAATGATTTGTCAACAAGATGGTGCACCACCACATTATGGTAAAGTTGTACGAGATTTTTTAGATAATACGTTCGTTGAATGGATTGGTCGTCGAGAAACTGTTGAATGGCCTCCACGCTCACCTGATTTAACTCCCTGTGATTTCTCATTATGGGGTATCGTAAAGGACCGTGTTTATACAGAAAAGCCTCGTAATATAAATCATATGAAGTCTCTAATTCAACAAGAATTTACATCGCTCAACGATGTTATTGAATTATGTCAAGCGATTTGTCGATCTGTAGGTGATCGTTGTCAAATGTGTATCAACAATGCAGGCAAACAATTTGAACACTTACGTTAAACTGAAGAATATCAACAAAAATATCGATTTTTGCATGATAGTGTTTCTTTTTCTAATATTGGTGAAGAACTGTAACGTGCATTTGATAAGAAAAAAGAAACAAGAATGAATATCTTTGTGTGAACTTAATAAAATGGCTTCTATTCATTCTACATTGTTTTTTATTGTACATGTAAGAAAGTCATTTTTTATCGAAGCCGATAGCAGTGCTTGAAAAAGACTTTGTCTGACCTCATCAAGGGGGAAAAAGCGTGAGTTAAATCAATCTTTAACACACTTAAACTCACTTAACTCACCCTAACTCACTCTAACTCATCTTAACTCATTTTAACTCAAAAACTCACCAAGTGCTTTTTCCCCCTTGTTTTTGCATGTGTTTCCTATGTAAACGGATGTTGCTTTTTAGGATTAAATGTTTGTGCACAAATATTCTAAGTAAATCTATTTTATATTTTTTGGAAAGAGATAAAACATTCCAATCTGACAATGAATATGAGAAACATTTTTTTAAAACCGTGTTATTTTCATTAAAAATGAAACCCATACAACTCGTGATACTTTTTCTATCATTGTTGGAAATTACTGGTTATTACTCATTATACAACTCAGATGATCGTGAAAGATTAAATTCTGTATTTGATTGTTTATATGCATATATGGTACAATCTTCTCTGGTTAATGATGAATATTATCAAATTCATTATCATCTTATTCCTTATTGTCAACGATTGGATCAAACTGAAAAATATGAAGAATCATTTATTGTATCGAATGAAAATATTCAAAGTCAAATGAAGTTTAGTGAATTATATGAACGGGGTGTGACAAGTTTACAACTATTAGATTGGTTAGCACCAATAGATATTGCAGAACGATACGAAAGAAATGGTCAAAATTCTGACGAAATATTTTATAATTGTTCATATCCTTGGTTTGGTTCAACGTGTGAATATAAATTAATCGATAATATATCATCTTCATTTGGAAAAACAGTTGAATTTATTATTGGGAACCGTAATACAGCACCACTAAATGTAAATTTTACTATTGGTACATGTTATCCATTTTTAAATAGTTGTTATCGTGGTCCATCACCGATGTGTCTTGATTGGCGCGAAGTTTGTGATGGAAATTTTGATTGTATTCATGGAGAAGATGAAGAATTATGTTCAATCATGAAAATAAATGAATGTTTTGATGAAGAATTTCGATGTCATTATAGTGCAGAATGTATTCCATGGTCATTTGTTCGAGATGGAATTCATAGTATCGATTGTCTTGACGGTACGGATGAGATGTATGGGTTCTTGTCATTTACCGGTAATAAATATGACTGTCCTGAATTGGCAACATTTGAATGTGAAGAAAGTGCAAATTCACGTCCTCGACATTTTGCATGTGGTGACGGTCAACTTCAAGGGGAATCTCCACCTAATTTTCAAATTTATTGTTCTAATTTACGAGAACAACAAATGACTTTGGCTATATTTACTTCACTTGATTACATTTCTGAAGTGAAATGTCAGGAAGCGTTGTTATGTTTAATCGGTATTAATCCAATGGACAATATTTTATCGATTATAGATAAAGATCTTTGTGAATCTTTTATTGATTCTACTGAAACTCTTGGTGATCATTGCATGTCAGAATGGATTAGTTTTCCTGAATATCCAATTCTTTATCGTTTCTTTCAATTTATTTATTTTACAAATCGATCAATTGAAGAATTTAAAATGAATATTTTACCTGATCTGATTTGTTTTAATAGAAGTCTTTGCCCAGGATTATTGTTTTGTTCAATCGATATTCAAATACATAATGAATTGAATTGTTGTCAAATTGATCATTTTAATCTGTTCAAAACTAATGAATGGGCTCAAGTCTTCCCAATGTTCGAAGACATACTTGACCGATGTGCATTGATCGGTAACGATAAGAATTGTTCCGAACCATCTTTATTTTATTGTCAAAATTCATCAAAATGTATTCCAAAACATTTATTACTAGATCGTCATATGGATTGCTATTTTAACGAAGATGAAAAAGTTTCTGCTTGTGATTTAAATGACACCAAACGATTTACTTCGAAATTATATCCAGATGAATGTTATTCAATAGTTGCAATTGATCCCTATGGGACATCCGGTTTCAATTTAATATATGAAAATCCTATATATAAACCAGATGCTTTGAAAAAAAGATTTCCATTTCAAAAGATTTGTGATAGTTTATACGATGTAAAACCATTCGATTATTCCGATGACACCGATGAAACTAATTGTACATGGTGGCCATGTAGTAATTCATATGTTCGTTGTGATAATTTCTGGAATTGTTTAAACGGTTTAGATGAATTAAATTGTTCTCATAATTCATGCTCTGCAAATGAACATGTTTGTGTTCAATACGAATCTGAAGAAAAACTTTGTTTTCCGATAACACATTTAATGGAAGATTATACAATATTTCAAATCGAAAGATATCGTAAAATATATCTTACTAATAAAACAATTAATAATATTGAAAATTATTTATTTTGGAATCAAACAAAATGTATTACTCTTGGACATCTATTTCATGGTCATTCAATATCATCGTTATCCGATGAAGATGTCTGTTTAATGCCAGATAACGAAAAATATGGCACAGATATAAATTATTTCTTAGAAATCGATCAATGGTCCTGTGATTTTTTCTTCCGTTGGGCAAGAGAGAAACCGAAATTTTTTCTAACATCACGGTTAAGCAATTTTCCATCGATATTGCCTACTAATGTTTCTGTCCAAACAATTTCTGCATTATCTCAAAGTGAAAAATTTGATTTACTAAAAAATACGGAAAAATATTGGTATTGTAATCGAGGAATTCTTATTTTATTTCAAACAAACAATTCTTATAAATGTCTTTGTCCACCAAGTTATTTTGGTGATCGATGTCAATGGCAAAATCAACGTATTAGTTTAACAATTCAATTAATATATCGTAATTCAACATATATAATATCTGTTTTTCAATTAATCATTACTCTTATTGACGAACAAGGACAAATTGGACCTTATCATGAACAACTAACATATGTACCTAAACGTGATTGTGGTACTAAATTTAATATTTATTTACTTTATCCAGATAAACCAAAGAATTCCTCAATTAATTATTCAATTCGTATTGATCTATTTAATAAAATGACATTAACTTATTTAGGAAGTTGGAATTTCTCAATACCATTTCCATTTTTACCTGTCAATAGAATATCTACTCAATTATTTATTCCAAATACAAAACAATTTGAATCATCTTGTTCATTAGATTGCGGAAATCATGGAAAATGTGTTCGATATATAAATAAAAATGAATTCTATTTTTGTCGATGTGATCAAGGTTATTCAGGTTTAAAATGTAATATTAAAGAAAATTGTTCTTGTTCATTGGATTCATATTGTTTAACATCAACAATTTGTATTTGTGCATTGAATAAATTCGGTCAAAAATGTTATTTAAATAATTCAATTTGTCAATTAGGAAATAATCCATGTGAAAATAATGGACAATGTATTCCTATTGATGATCGAATTGGTCTAAAGAAATTTACATGTTTATGTAAAGAAGATTTCAATGGTGAAAGATGTGAAAATAAAATAAAGAATATTATTGATATTGAATTCGATGGAAATCTAATTAAAAGTGATTCAGCTGTTATTGTACATTTAATAACAAGATTTGAGAATGATAATCCACAACATACAACATTACTTAAGAAAATTAAATATGGACAAAAAAGAATTGAGATTTATGTAACAATATCTTTTCATATTGTGTTTATTGAACCTGTTAATGAAAAACAATTTTATTTAGTTATAATAAGAGAAGAATTTATTCAATCAGAATATATTCATACAAAGTTATTATCAAATCAACAGTGTCTTTTTATAGATAATTTATTAAATATAACTTTGAAATCTTATTCTTATTATCATCGTATTAAATATTATCCATTATTATGTCGACAAAATAAACAATTAATGTGTTTCTATGATGAATATTATATGTGTTTATGTGATCTTGATCGATTTTCTAATTGTTTTACATTCAATCATAATATAACTTACAATTGTCAAGGACAACATCAGTGTGAAAATGGTGGAAAATGTGTTCAAGATAATGCAACATGTCCTGTTGTATCATTCTGTGTATGTCAGGATGATTGTTCTTATGGTACAAAATGTCAGTTTAGTACAAATGGTTTCATTTTATCACTTGATTATATTCTCAGTTATCATATTAAACCAGAGATTTCATTTTCTCAGCAACCTTTAATTATCAAAATAAGTACAGTTATTGTAATAATTATGTTTGTGTTTGGATTAATCAATGGAATTTTATCAATCTTAACATTTTCTACACAGAAAACAAGAGATGTTGGTAGTGGTTTGTATTTATTATTTTGTTCATGGATTTCTATATTGATAGTAATTGTTTTATTAATGAAATATTGTCAATTAATTTTATTTCAAATGTTAATATTTAAAAATTCAAGATTATTTAAGATTAATTGTATTTTATTAGATATGATTCTGAAAGTTCTTATAGCTGCAAATGATTGGCTTGATGGATGTGTTTCAATTGAACGAATTATTATTATTATCAAAGGTATCAGTTTTAACAAAGTTAGAAGTAGAAAGTTAGCTAAATGGATCATTTTAACTGTTATTATTGTGACAATTCTCACTCATCTTCATGATCCTTTTAATCTTTTCGGGACGGGGTTCTTTTTTAACAGACCAAATAACGAAACACGATACTAATCAAAGTCGCTAGATTTTCATTTTTAGTTCATNGACCAAATAACGAAACACGATACTAATCAAAGTCGCTAGATTTTCATTTTTAGTTCATTATTTTCATCTGTCGAGAGACTAATACGGCACATAAGCTCATTAGTGGTATCGAAGGCTAGAGGAATATCAGCTAGAATAATAGAAAAATAATATACAGTTAACGATTGGAATGATCTCAAGTCAGTGGCCATTATAGTGGCCGCCCGTCCCGAATGGGTTAATCGTCATGTTATAAATGATACTGATTTTGAAGAAGAACGTATCTGGTGTTTAGTACAATATTCTCCTTCAATTAATATCTTTAATTCATTTATTACTCTCTTTCATTTTCTGATTCCATTTATAATTAATTCATGTTCAATAATCATCGTTGTTATTTTAACATCACGATCTCGTTCTCTTGTTCAGTCAAGTTTATCTTTTATGGAACATTTTAAATTACAATTCAAAGAATATAAACATCATTTTATTGCATCATGTGCTTTGGTATTATTAGCATTACCACGTTTGATCATATCATTTATCAGTGGTTGTATGAAATCACCAAATAAGTCATGGTTATTTCTTTCTGCATATTTAATTTCATTTTTACCATCAATCATGATATTTGTCATATACGTATTACCATCAAAAAATTATAAGACGGAATTATATAATGTTCTTCAAAAAAGACTTCGACGATTTCGAGATAGAATATAATTAGATGTCTCGACAAAACATTCCCTTAATTTATCATACATTTTTTTACTTTATCTATGGCGGATTGAAACTTCTTTACCGAGAATTCGAAATTTTTCTCATCATTAATTATATCCATATTATGAGTTTTGTTTTTGAAAATTTCCTAACGAAATTCCTTGCGTAAGAACTACTCTGCGATGTCTTCTGGACAATATTCAGTCAACGTCAAGCACAATTGAAAATATTTCACACATCAAACCAGGAAAGGACATCGAGTAAAAATACAAATACTTGGGTCTAAAAAGTATTATTTAGGATTTAAGTACAGTCGTATATGGAAACCTATTTTATATGTATTCAGACATTTAAAAACTAATAAACATCGGAATTAATAACGGAGTTCCTTTGTATTTGAGGGATATCTATAGAATAAATGAATTTTCTCAATTACAGTTAACATAATTTGCATGTAACTATTCCTTATTACAGTTTTTGTTGACATCCTGTAGATGTATAACGAATAAAGAATGAATAAAAGTGTTTTTTTTTTCTTACATGCGATTTGATCATTTATCAGTCATTCTTTTGCTAAAAGTGTTTTATACCTACGCAAGTTTATCTTCAATTGAAATTTTCACCTCTCGATAACAAAGAAAAGAGGCTTAGAAACCATTGAAATACTTTTTGATATTTAAATAAAAAGTACCAAGTATTGTACTAAGTATACAATGTCTGGTACTGAATAATATTCAGATGATGAAAAGAAAGTAATATGTATTTGATTCGTCAGTTGGTAATCGTTTATATCAATTAGAAAAACACGGTAGTGTAATAAAGTTCCAATATTACGTGATACTTTCTGCTGTTCAGTTAAAACAATGTTTCTCCTGTTGGTGACTCTGCTGATTTCTCTGCTATGATAGTTTTAAAACCAGGACTAGTAAGTAACCTTAAAAGATTTTTTATGTAGACTGGTATATGTAAATAAAGGTTACAAAAAAAGAACAAGTTTCATACAAATTGAAAATGTGAGAAATATTTAATAATTTCAAAGAATTAATATAATTCACTGTTATCCAAAAAATTATTAGTATTACTAGTTCCACCTGTTAATAAAACTTTTCCATCCGATAGAACGGTTGCAGTATGTTCATATCGTGTATGATTCATAGTACCAGTAGTTGTCCAAACTTCTGTTAATGGATCATATATCTCGGAATATTTGGAAAAAACACCTGAAGAACGATATCCACCAACAACTAATATTTTTCCATTGTGTAGTATAGATGCTGTATGAAAAGCTTGTATTTGATGCATTGAACCAGTTTTCGTCCATGTTTCAGTTGTTGGATCGTACAAATAGAAAAAATGTTCAAAAATGGATTTCGAAAATTCATACATTTCTGTCTTGTCGACGCATTTCACTAGTGGTCAGAGCTAGAGAGCTGAAATTTTTAGAAGTTAAAGATCTTCATCAGATATATGTATGATAAAATTTTGAGTCCTCTAGGTTAAGTAAAAGTACAAAAAATATGGATAACAAATTGTCCTCAGACCTTCTGGGACACCCTTTACTAGTTGAATCAAATTGAATTGGTAAATGAAACTATAACTAATGAATTGGATTGAATCGAATTGGACGAATTCTCAAAAGTCATTGAATCGAATTGAGAGAAAATTTATTTTCAACGAATTGAACGGAATTGAATCGAAGAGAAAAATTTGTTAGTAACAAATTGAATCGAGTTGAATTGGCAAATTTATTTTTAAGTTCAATGAATTGGACTCAATTCAACAAAAAAATTCTAAAATTCTTTTTTCAGAAATATTCTTAGTTTATAGAGAAAATTACATTCTCGGTAAGATTATGATGTCGGAGGTGATTGTTAAATGATATATTCTCTTTTCTGAAAGAAAGGGTTATACAACGCTTAAATCATGGGCTTGAAATGCTAAAAGTTTGTCTGTTTGTTTGTCTGTCCGTTCTATCCAATCAGAAAACAGCATTTCGTAAATCGACTAAAACGTATTAAAACTTAACCGGAAGTTAGTGACCGAAGGATAATCGAGGTCGAGGATCACGAATCTAATGTTAGTTTTTTAAAATTCCAATCAATTAATTAACTAATTACCCAATTAAGGAGTCGTAAACTACTTTTGTGCCGAGCAAGGGTTGGCCGAACGTAAACGAGATCGAGGATCTCAAATTTGACATTAGTTTTAAAAAGTTTCCGTTAGTTAATTAACTCATTAGATAATTAACTACGTCGCTTATTGTCGAGTATGAATTGAGCGCCTAGTTTTCGAGGTCGAGGGTTCCGCATCTAATGGCATTTCTGGACAAGGGAATGTTTCCGAAAAAATCCGTTGCATAAGGTTTGGTCGAAGATCATCAGTTTCGAGGAACTAGAATATGAAGATAATCCTTAAAAACTACTATAAATTATTAACTTCATAGTGATGTAATTAAGGTATATTTGAATAGATTTATAAGACAGACGCAAGATGTTCGTATGTACATGTCGTTTTTAAACCTTAACGACACAAGACGAGCTGAACATTGTCTGTGATTTGTGTGTCAATAAACCAATTGTCGAACTGTAAAGAAAAGATAAGTCAAGCGTTTCGTTAAAACTGTGCCTCAAGTCATCTTTAGGAGATATAAAAGTCCAATATCAGTTTTCTTACGAAGTTTTTGTGTTGTCAACAACTACACATGAGAACTTTTGGATGAATCTTTAACAGATATATGTAAATGAAAACGAAATGGATGACTAGAATTCTGCTGTTGGATCTTTATAGAGATTGATTTGTAAAAAACGTTTAAAAAGCTATACTGGACAAGTATTATTGAAGGCCAGCGGATCATAAGACACCTGACTTCCACTTCGAAGGTTTTTCGAAGAGTTACAGAAACAAAATCAGTGCTTTTTTAAGAGTAAATCAAAAACAGATAGAAGACTAGAAGCATGCAAGTATGCATATGTGCGGCTAGCCGCGAGTGGCCGACCGGAGGGAGGCCGACGAGTGATTAGACGTTGATTTTAGAGAATGATACTTCAGAGCATGAATTTAAATGACTTTCATGTACTTTTCGCGTTTCTTCGAAGAGATTCAGTGGATAAATCACACGAACGAATGCGACAGTTTTTAAGGTCCTGGAAACGAAGAGAAGAACGACACTATGCTGAAAGTCATACAATCTCGTAAATTTGGTCACATTTCGATCATGAATTGCTCCCCTATGATAAGCTTGTTTTTCGTATAATATCCTCGTCCGAATGAAGTGAAAGAGGGAAAGAACAGCCATGTATACGGCTAGCCGTGAGTGGCCGACCGACTAGGCGTTTGCTTAGGAGGTCTAACAGATGAGTGACTAAATGGATTTTTGAGAATTAGAGAGGAATCAATTAATCATTTTTAAAAACGGTATCTGACTTTGCTTGACTTAATATAAATGAATTAAAATACTTTGAATCGGTGAAAATTTGCAAAGGATTATTAAAACGTTTTTATGTACAACGTGTGCTGGGATGCAGCTCAGTTAGATCTATATCTACGTTGGGGCTTATTGAGTACTATTTTAATTGCTTCAGAAAAAGGTCAGTGAATCCAAAGGATGAGCGTTACTTGTATATATTGAATTATTTGAATTTTCCCTGCGATTCAAAATGTTAACTTTGCGTACCATGATGTTCTTGTTATTTTATTTCTTTCGTTCTTTGATACTTGTATATAATTTATGTATACATGTTTGTTATGTAATCAGTGTATTCGCATAATCTTTTTCGACGTCAGACATACGATATAAATACATGTCGGTATACATTTGTATAATCACACTGTTTCGACGGACGGATAAGATATCGATGGTTATACAGACGAATCTATCTTTTGTTCAAGGTCTTCTCCACTTAAATTTAAATATCTCTGCTTTTAAATTCTTTTTCTGTATTCAATTCTAATTGCATAAATAATTTTTCTCGTCGTTTGAAAAACACATCGATTGAATCAGTTATATATATATATTTGACGAATCTTACTCAATAGTTTAATTATGTCATTCAATGTTGAAGCAGCATCATTATCTTCAATTGTTATTTTCGATTCTTCCGAAGAAGCAACAATTACACATCCTGTTTCCAAAACTGCACGAGATCAATTTTACCAAGATACTAAAACAATTAACGAGAATAAATCTTGGAAGGTCATGTGTGTAATTTATAAAGGTACAATACGTGGTACTAAAGGTTTTACATCCAATTACAATCGACATATTAAAGAATTCCATAAATCTTATTATGATTTATGGCAAGAAAAATTACAATTAAATAATATTAGTGGTCAGAAGAAAATTACTGATGTGGTATCTATACAGAAAGAAAAACCTACAAAAAAAAAGATTGTTTATATCCAACAAATCATCCACGGCAAATTAGTCTAGAAAGATCAATTATTGAAGATATGATTATTAAAACTGGTCTTCCACTCTCACTTGTCGAACGTTCCGATTTCATTAAATTTATGACTCATGTTGACCCTCGATTTCGTATGATGAGTAGACGTACACTAACTCGAACGTCATTACCAGGTTTATATTCGAAAATGATGGATGGATTACGATTATTTTGTTCAAATGCACCCTTCATATCTCTCACATTGGATATGTGGACAGATCGAAGACAACGAGCATTTTTTGCATTAACAAGTATGAGCAATTTAAAAGATGAATGTAAAATAATACAATAAAATGTGTTTATTTTTATAGGTCATGCAATTACTGATACAGAATTTAAATCATACGTTATGGCATTTCAACCTGTGTTTGGTAATCATTCAGCACCACTATTATTGGAAACGTATGAATCAATTATTAATACGTTTAATATTCGATCGAAACTAGTCCAATTAGTTATCGATAGCTGCTCGAATAATATCGCAGCTTTTCGTGGTTTAGTCATCCCTGGATTTGAATATTATTTTCAAGATGAAGAAGGTGCATATTTTGATGAAAATAGTGATGGTGATGAGGATCAAAATGAATCAATAGATACTGCGCACGAAAACAATGTTTCAATCGACACAAGCAATATACTTAAATTTTTTTTGATGCCATCACAATGGATGATCAATCATTCCGTTTACCATGTTATGCTCACACATTACAACTGGTAGTTAATGATGGATTAAAAGGTTTGAAAGCCACACAGTCATCATTAGAGAAAATTTCCAAAATAGCAAAATTACCCCACTCAACGACATTAGTATCGCAACGTTTCGAGAAAATTAATGTATGCATTCCAAAAGCAAATAAAACTCGATGGACTTCTCAATATCAAACAGTTATGACAGTGGTTAATATTCCACCATCTGACTTAAATGATATTTTAATTCAAACACAGCATCGTGATTTATGTCTTAAACCAGTAGACTATCAAGTTTTGAACGAGTTTATCTCGTTGTTAACACTTTTTGCTGAAGCAACAACTGCCACTCAAGCAGAAAAGACACTATCGATTTCAATTGTGGCTTCTTCAGTTTTATCAATTTGCCAAGATCTTTTATTTGAACGAAATAATATCAAACATTCAACAAATTTATGGAATTGTTTGTTTGAATCATTTATAGCTCGTTTTGGTGGTCTTTTGGAGCAAATATTAATCCAGGTTGATATTGAAGAAAAGAAGAAAACCAAGCGATTTTATGATTTTTTTCAAAGATCCTGTCTTTCTGTTAGCACCATTCATGGACGGTCGGTTTCGTTTGCAATGGTTGTCAAGCTCTATTTTATCTGAAGATATTCAATTCGAATTATGTGAAAAGATACAACAAATTGCATTAGAACAATCTATCTTGCTCGCACATATGAATGGAATATGTACAACATCAGTTAATGATAATGCTCCATCAAGTCCACCATTACAAGCAACAACACCAAATAGTAACATCATATCAAGTCCATGTGCTCCAAAACGAAAAAGTTTATTCTCAAGTATGGACAACAGAATTGTAAAGAAGAAAAAATTTGATCCATTTAGCTATATTAAAGATGAAATTTCTAGGTGTTTAAACGATGATGATATGGATAGTATGGTTCTTATAAAATCTTCAAAAAATTATCCAACATTAAGCAAACTTGCTTCTAAATTTTTATCAATACCAGCAACATCTGCACCCGTGGAACGGGTGTTTAGTCAAAGTGGATTTTTTTTTCGTCAACATAGAGCATCAATGAGCAGAACAACACTTCAGCAATTAACAATGCTGAAGTGTAATCGTAGTCTTTTCTAATCGGTAATTTTTGTACCTTGTTCTTCTGAAACTGTCTCATATCTCAATATTTCCTACACTTTCTTTATTAATTATCTTCTATCTTGTCATTAATAAATTTTTTAAATCTTAATGATTTCTTATCAGTAAAATAAAGTCTTTTCATACAAACACTTTTTATACAGATACGAAAGAACCTTTTCGTTGATTAACTGGTGAAAAAATAAAGGGATAAAATATATATCTTAAACTTCCGGATAGCAACTAGTTGAGTTGAAAATGAGTTTAATTCTATGAACGAGTTGAATTGAATTGAATTCACTTTTATTTCGTGGGTCTACCAGTTGAATCGTAACTAATTTCACATTTTTATCAAGCATATACTAGTTGAATTGAATTGAGTTGACCTATGATCTCTCGATCTGTAAATTGAGTTGAATTGAGTTGATCATATTTTTCAGCAGAGTTGCCCAGCTCTGGACTGTATGAGCTGAAATGGTTATAACCAATCCATTTGAAGACGAAAATATGATAGAACATCGTTAGAAATTAAAACTTGAAAAATCTGAATAAAAGTATTTTTTTGCCAAAAAGGTCTCTAAAAACCTGGTTTTACGGAGACTTTCCGATCTTGGATGATTCTGATTTCTTTAATACATACCTATTACCTCATAATATAACTTTATATGGAAAAAGAAAAAAACTATCTAATTTGAAAAGAATTTTCTTTTCCTTTTTCCTCTCTTTAACATTAAGAAATTAATTTAAAAGCATTTTCTGTTATAAAGTTTTCTCTCACTGCGTATCCAGTATGATTTTTTTCTCTTGGGAGCAGCAGTTGTTTTTTTCTTAAAAATACTTGAACAGTAAACATCTATATTACTTCATTTTTTCTTATCACTGATTTTGATTATGAACTATTATTTAGCTCTTGAATATTCATTAGTTTTAAGTAAGAACGATTTATCCTTCTTCCTTTTAAATATATTTTTTCCGTCGGAAAGTTGAGAACGATGAGAAAAGAGAATATCAACACGACGTTGTGAAGCAGAGCAAAAATTTCATCGAAAAATCAATCCATACTCTTATAAAAAATAATTCTACAGTATATGAAAGTTGTGAATTGTGTACAGAAAAAAAAGAATATACAAGAGAATCAGTTTTGTTTTTTTCATGAATATTGAGATTTCATCGTCAATAGAAAGAAAAAACGATGGTTCTCTCGTATGAAGTAAATATCATTAAAAATATTACATCTTGTTAAGAAATGAGAACAAAATAGTCTAGAAAAATATGCACTGCGAAACTGTTTCTTCTTATGCTGTATTAACAAATAAATAATATATTAAAATGCTTTCCTTTCAATGTCCTCTTTTTCTTGCTACTAATGATGAGAAGGAAACAAAACATTGTACTTTTAATTTGAGAAAATTTGTTTAGATGTATTTTCTCTGTGAAGAAAATGTTCATTTCATGTTTTTTCTTTTTTATATTGGTATATTTTTTTTGAAAACTTCAATAATAGGTGATACCATTTGAAATCTTAGTCCAATTTCGCCTGCTTTTAGAAAAAAATCTCAAATGTTTTGAAATAAAACTCGCATCTGACTTCACTGATGAATTAAAAAAAGATGAGAAATCCGTGTTAATAAATAACATTGAGTTTATCGGAGAATTAAAACGAATGCGTTTGGATAACGATTTTCATCAAAGTGATCATAAAACAGGACTTATGTAAATTTAAATCATTTCTTTTAGATATTTAAAATGATATTATTGAATTTTCTCAACCTATGGTTATTCCTGACGATTACAGGACAAACATCAAGTAAGAATCCAGTAAAACTTGTTGCCATATGCACTGAAAGAATAATTTATCCTAAATTACCATATTTTTTTACTAGAAAAATCTGAACGAGCGGTATTTTTCTGTTATATTTGATGTTTTTGTGTTCGCTTTTATTAAATGTTACACTCTTGAGTGCTTACATAAAAAAAGAAAAGGGAGAATAAAAGGAGAAAAAGGGAAGTATAGATAAGGGCAGAAAGGGCGGACCAAGGTGCTAGTGATTCATTTTGTCGTGGAAGGGTGTGTTCACTATTATTCGCTAGAGTTACTGTATGAGGTTGTGTTTGGCTGCGAAACTATAATTATTCCTCTTCATCAAAACATATCCACTTAATCAGGAGGATTTCATCTCTATCTAGTAGTTTGTTGGTTCTTCTTAATCTAAAGTAGTGTCCTAATGCGTCACCTTTTTCTTTTTTAAATTTATCCCAGTAGAAAATGTCCAGGAGAAAGGGTGATCGTCCTAGGTCTGACTTGTACGTTCTTTCTAGTCTCCTCGTGACAAAGCGCTGTACGTAGAATTTCAGTGGTTCCTCTTTCGTTGCCATACCTAGATCTGATGCTGATATATATGGACAACTGTGCACTAATCTTATAGCTACTCGGAACTTACTGTCCAAGGCTTCGCGTTGAGTCATAGGTAAAAAAGGATAGAAGGGGAAAATCCATGCTAAGTGTGGAAAGACGTATGCAAGCATGCACTATCTTAACACCGGGACTGTTGTTCGTTTGCCTTTTCTTAACCATTTCAGTTTGGATAATGCTCCGTCTGCTCTAGTGAGGCATTGATCAACTGTGGATTTAAGTGACATTTTGCTGGTCCAAGTAAAACCTAGATATTTGAATTTGTCGACGATTTCTAACCTTACTCCCTCCATCTCTATCTTAATATCCGGTTTTTGTACTTGAGAGTAGAATATCTGGGCTACTGTTTTTTGTACATTTATCGGTTGTTTCCATTTTTTGCATAGGCAGCTATTTTGTTACATACTTTGTTTCCTTCTTTTATCATATATTCTATTATTGAGTTCAATGATTTAATAAATGGAGCTCTTATGAGAACACTCAGGTCATCTGCGAACAGGTATCCTGAGCGTGCTCCTAGGCATTGAACTAAATCGCAATGGTATACGATAAATAGATATGGAATTAAACTACTCCCTTGTGGTACACCTATATGGATGTTGAAATTATCTGATCTATTCTCGTCAAAACTAATATAGGCTTGCCGGTTCTTCAGCCAGGAAACTATCATCGTGAGTAAGTTCGTAAGCATCCTCGAATCATGTAGCTTCACTACCAGTCCTGCATGCCAGACCACATCACATGCCTTTTTATAGTCAACATAGACAGCTAAAGTGGGCATATTGATTGCTAAGTTATTCTTGATTTCTTGGTAAATAGGCAATACTCGTGTGGGTAGAAGACCGCCCGGCCTGAAGCCGGATTGTTCTTCTGGAACCAGAGAGTTTTCCTCAGCCCAACTTCTCGTTCTTTCAAGCAATATTTTTTCGAACAGTTTGGGATGCGTAGGAAGTAATGATATAGGTCTCGTCTGCTCTGGACCTGGGACTCCTGCTTTTAACTTGTTTAAAGTAACTATTTTTGCTATTTTCCACTCTCCTGGGAAACGACATTGCTTGAGTCACTCACTGAAACACACGCCTAAACAGTGGATATAGGCAGGTGGCAGTAGTTTATTCATATGATTTGATATTTCATCATATCCGAAAGGTTTTTATTCTTTACTTTCTTTATGATTTTGTTAATTCCGTGCTCGATACTGGCTCTAACATCACGTTAGTTTGTTTTCCTATGGCCTCATTTATTTGTAGGAACTCCTTATTGATGTACTTATCGTGAGGATTTTTATCATCTATTCCTGGTTCATTCGCTTGCTCTTTATAGTAATTATATAGCGTGCTCGTTATGTCTTTATGATTGGATATTATGCCTGAACTTGTTGCAAGTTTTGATATTGGAAGTGATTTTGGTTTATAAATTTTAGATAGGTGTGACCAAAAGGCATTCCCTCGGATATCATGTGCTTCTTGTATTTGAGATAAGAATGTACACCAACGATCCGATTTATACTTCCGAATTTCCTTTTGAACATATTTATTCATTGTTCTTAATGCAGTTCTATATTCCTCTATGTACATATCATTTTTCAATTTTCTTTCTGTGTAATACTTATTCCGAACTTGTCGTATATCTTTTAACATTCCAATACTATAAGGAGGTAATGATGGTCGATATTTATCTTTATTTCTCCATCTCGTTACTCTTTTCTTTAGCGCAGCGAGAAATCTAGTATATTTTCTATACCAACTATCTACGTTATGTCCTTCTAGATCTAACTCCTTTATCCAAAAACCTTGCAATAATTCTAATATTATCTAATATACTGTCCAATTAACTAGAGGAAAATGGCCGTTTGTTTGAAACCCCACTTTTTTACTTCTCATAGCCATGGGCCAGTGATCACTAGTACCTATTTCGAATGTTTCTGCTGTAAGATCAGTTAGATTGGTAAAAATGAGATCGATGTGTCTGTCTGATCGTTTGGACGAATTTTTCGTACCGGGAACGAAGACCAGATGATTTTCCTCTATCCAGCTTTTTACTTATTTACCTCTTGCATCTGTTGATGGACTAGCGCATTCCTCTGCGGCTGCATTAAAATCTCCTGTTAGTATTGTATTTTCCGTGATGAAGGCTTCCAAATCCTTTAAATTACGATCTTGACAATGAGGCCAGTAGATACCAATAATTCTAATCTGTTCTGATAGTCCCACATTATCTACTATAACTGTATTTTCTATATTAATTTCGATTCGGGTGGCCTTAAGATGTTTACTTACTGTTACTATCACTCCATCTTTAGCGTTTGTACGTTTTTGATAGAACGTGTGAAAATGTGGTATGGAAAATTTGTTGCACAATTCCCCAACTTCTGTGACTACACATATTGAACTATCTGTTTTAAAGATCATTTCAGTGGCTTCAAGCGCCCTTGAACCCCATCCTTGTACGTTATATGCTAGCATATTAAGCGATAAAAGTTGACTGGTTAAACAGCATTCTCTCATTTCCCATTGATTTAGTATTCCATTGAGTGTTTTACCAGAATATCATTCATCTATAATTGCTGTTACGTATTGGATAGTTTTGGTAGGAAAGCCCCAACCAACGACTTTTTGCATCACTGCACCTTTTACAATATCAGGGGTTAAGTTGGGATCAGCGTACGGATTTAGGAGGAAGGGGACTGCGAAAACATTTAGAGAGTCAGAAATCAAACTATTTTTCATTGGTTGTGGACACTGAATAGTCTTGTTCAACTCGCTTCTTGTTTGGCAAACTATTTATGAGTGCCTTGACACTGATGTTGTTGTGCCATTTGTTGGATCAGTAGTTTGGTTGTTGTTAAGTTGCAGTGGTAATGATTCAGTTGGTTGTTGTTTATCATAAGATAACATGTTGAACTTCTCTGTTATATCTTTCTTAAAATTGTCGAGTTGAACTGCTACCTCTTGTAGCCCTATAGTTTGTTGTTTCTTTTCTTTGAATAATAAGGCCATGATGGTTTGTTGTATAATATTAGTTATCACTAATATACCTTGCTTGTTGATTGATAATACTTTATTTGCCATATCTAATTTCAAGACTTGGTTGTCTAGTTTCGATTCCATACGCCGAGAGGTTTTCAACAAGACGCTCATTTGTGTATTGATTTCTTTTAGTTGTATTTGTTCTTGTTGTGTCTGGCTTGCCCATGTGTTTTGATTGGACCAAGCGTGTTGACGTTCATTATTTGGTTTTAATGTAGGATAATCTATATTCAAATTTTGATGATAATTTGTCTTTCTATTCTCGTACATTGGACCAATCATGCCGCCGTTCAGTGCAATATCAACTTCTTTTAACGTTTTTCTGTAGTTTTTTACTACATTACACTCCATGCTAAGTGATGAGTGATTACCTTTACACTGACGAGGGAACCGCCCGAGGTGATTAACGAGTTTAGATCTCATCTTTTGGTGGTAGATAGTCCTCGATGAGGTATGAAAAACCTCAAGAGGATTTGTGCCCATGGGCCTTTTATTTAGAGTTATAGATGTTTTACGGAAATTTTTGCATATAGTTAGGTGTCTGCCAACAGATCAAATATCAGTATTTAGAACTGAAACTTTGGTTACAGACAGGTCTATAGATAGGAACAATGCTCTGAAAACTTCAGCTCTAAAGAAGGTTTCCTTCTCTAAATACTAAAACTTCAAAAACCCACCCATATTTTAGGAAATACGCTAGAGCTGTTCTTTGTTTCAAGTTTTGGTATTTAGAGAAGGAAACCTTCTTTAGAGCTGAAGTTTTCAGAGCATTGTTCCTATCTATAGACCTGTCTGTAACCAAAGTTTCAGTTCTAAATACTGATATTTGATCTGTTGGCAGACACCTAACTATATGCAAAAATTTCCGTAAAACATCTATAACTCTAAATAAAAGGCCCATGGGCACAAATCCTCTTGAGGTTTTTCATACCTCATCGAGGACTATCTACCACCAAAAGATGAGATCTAAACTCGTTAATCACCTCAGGCGGTTCCCTCGTGAGCCCACCGTATAGGTTTATGACATTGATAGCTAAAATCCCACACTTCTAAGTATTTCCGACATCTAGGTTCGGCCTTGCATTGATTTCTGGTATGACCTAGCTCCCAACAACGGTTGCAATACGTCATATTTAGACCGGATATAAATGGTGTTATTGGAAGAAGTAAATGACCCATGGCAATATTCCTAATTTTAACAATTTCATCATATTCATTAACATTCGACACACAGAATCTATAATCATTTGTTGATTGTAGTTTATTTTCGATAATGAAACAGCTGATTTAATAGTTTTAGTAATTTCTTAATATATAAATCCATTGTCGAGATTAAGTGGAATATGTCGTATGACAAGAGCAGATGAATCAGGTACTGCACGTGGACGTTCAACTTTTACCTCTATCTGGTTCATTTTATTTGGCCAATTACAGTTCCAAAGCTTTAAGAAGTCCTCTCTTGTTGCTACTCCAAACTTGTATCTATTGTAACCAGCTGGTACAAAAAATGGAAAATTCTTCAATTCGATCAAATAATTGTTGACTGATGGTTTCTCTTATCCACTTGACTGTGTTCATTATTGACGGAACCTGGAACTGTCCACCTTTGTTGCTGCTGTTGAATCTGATAAAATAGCAAGGCGGTCTATTTGCTACTGCATGTTTAAGATGTTGTATTGGAAAGCCGAAGTAACGTGTTGATGACGGTGTTGTGGACGAATTTTGTTGCCGTTGTTTCTTAGTCTGTCGTTGAGATGATTTGCCCGGGGAATTACTTTCCTCTAGCTGTCTTCGTTGAGAAGATGATGCTTGGTTATTTGGTGTTGTGTTGAAGTTGTACTTGTCAATAGATGTCTTTGTCATATGATTGTTGTCATGTTGCTGTATATGTAGAGTTAGTGATTCATAAGCTGATTGATCCATTAGTCGTGCGAGGTTGTGTGTAATTTGTTATGTCGCCTGGTGATTCATCGGCTCGTTGTTTTTTTCGCTTTTTTGTTATTCCACTCGTTGTTTCTTATACGTTTCAATCATATATTTGACGAATTGGGGATCATTGTCCATTTGCTGTTGCCAATAATTGAGCTTCAGGAGCCCTCTGCTGATCTGGGACTCATCTTGAGTTCCAGTATTCCGATTCATAAGATAGGGGGATGTTATATAGGACTTGGATAGAGAGCGAAAATTTTAGCAGAACGCAAGAGAAGAATACGTCTTATCGTTACGAGTTAAGAATGATGAATGTGTTATATTTGATTTGATCATTCAACACCTTAGAGACCTCGAAGATTCGATTGTTGAAAATTAATCAGATATACGAGGTTTTTCAATAATAAAAATTCGATTGTGAAATATTTATAATTTAAGTTTGGATGATCATTTCATTTTCAGTCATAAGTATAGTTTTATTATTATTGTCAGGTATTTCGTACAATTTGCCAAAATTTTGTGCAAATGCAACATGGAATCAATCAGCTGTGACTTTTGCCACTAGCGCTATAGTCGGCAACCATCCTTTTGGTATTTTTGTGAATACAAATAATGATGTTTATGTAGCTGATCAGTCGAATGGACGAATTCAAGTATGGCTCAATGGAAGTATCACACCAACAAAAACAATATCGGGTGGTTTAGCTTCTCCTTGTGGTATATTTTCTACAGAAAATGGTGACATTTATATTGATAATGCCGTTTCAAATTATCGAATTGATAAATGGGGATCAAATTCGACAACTAGTGTTCCAGCAATGTATATATGTTCAGTTTGTCTTGGTGTTTTTGTGGATATAAATAATATGTTATATTGTTCAATGTATAATGATCATCAAGTTATATATAAATCATTAGATCAATATTTGAATATATGGAGTACTGTTGTTGGTAAAAGTGGTACCGCTGGATCAACATCGACTACATTGAATAAACCTGTTGGAATTTTTGTCGATTTTTATTTGAATTTATATGTAGCCGATTTTGGAAATGATCGAATTCAGAAATTTTCATCAGGACAATTGAATGGAACAACAATATCAACAGGAGCCATTATACTCAATGGTCCATCTTCAGTAATACTTGATGCTGATGGATATCTTTTTATTGTTGATCAACAGAATCATCGTCTTATTGGTTCAGGATCATATGGTTTTCGATGTATAGCAGCATGTTCTGGTTCTTATGGTTCATCATCTACACAATTATATTTTCCACAAACTATTAGTTTTGATAGTTATGGAAATATATTTCTTACTGATCAAACAAATAGTAGAATACAAAAATTTCTTTTCAGATCAAATTCATGTAGTAAGTAGAATAAATTCAATTTAATAAACATTCATGATAAATACAACTCCCTATTTTATAGATTCAAGCATATCAACAACTACAACTATTACAACGATGAATGATGTTCAATCTACTACTACATCAACACCTACATTTTATTCGACTAGTATTTCGTATAATCAACCAAAATTCAGTCCATATGTTCAATGGAATAGTGTTGGAATTACTTTTGCAAATAGTACTTTAGTTGGTACAACACCTTTTGGAATATTTGTCGATAGAAATAATGCTGTTTATGTTCCTAATCGTTCAAATAATCGTATTTATATATGGTCCGAAGGAAATAGTAAACCAACAAAAAATATAACATATGCGATAACTTCACCATATAGTATCTTTGTTACAACTAATGGTGATATTTATATTGATAATGGAGCTACAAATAATCGAGTTGATAAATGGATATCAAATGGAACAATAATTAATTCAATAATGAATGTACAAGGTGCATGTTACGATATTTTCACTGATATTAATAATAATCTTTATTGTTCATTAAATTCAGAAAATCAAGTTGTAATGAAATCATTAAATACTAATTCAAATTTATGGATTGTTGCTGCAGGTATTGATTGTTCAGGAACAACTTTTAATAGACTGAGTGGTCCTCGTGGAATCTTTGTGGATATAGATCTTGATTTATATGTTGCTGACTGTAATAATGACCGAGTTCAATTATTTCAATCAGGACAAGTAACAGCGACTACAGTAGCAGGAAGCACAGCTAGTGGAACACTTTCACTTGATTGTCCTAGTGATGTTGCACTTGATGCTGATGGATATCTGTTTATTGTCGATAGTAATAATCATCGTATTATTGGTTCAGGACCGAATGGTTTTCGATGTATAATTGCATGTATATCTAGTGGTGGTGCAGCATCTACACAATTAAATAGTCCATCATTGTTTAGTTTTGATACTTATGGAAATATTTATGTTACTGATCAAAGCAATAATCGAGCGCAAAAATTTACATCAATACCAAATACAATTTATTGTAAGTAATTTTAAGAATTTTTAGAATAGAGAAAATGAAGAATTTCTTATTTCTTTATTAGCTACTACATTGAATCAACCAAATTTTTGTCCATCTACAACCTGGTATACAGATGCAATTACGTTTGCTAATATTAGTACGGTTGGGACTAACGCCTATGGTGTTTTTGTCAGCGTTGACAATAGTGTTTATGTTGCTAATCAACAAACTAATAAAGTGATAGTATGGTTCGAAGGAAGTAATAATCCAGATAAAACTATTTCTGGTAGTCTGAGTAAACCTTATGATCTTTTTGCTACTCCTCTGGGTGATATATATGTTGATAATGGCCTAAACATTGGTCGAGTTGACCAATTTTCGTTAAATTCAAATATAAGTACTACTGTAATGACGATTCCTAATCAATGTGCTGGTATGTTTGTTGATATTAGTAATACTCTTTATTGTTCAACATCCAGTGATCATACCGTTGTTAAAAAATGGTTAAATGATAGTGTACTTATATCAACTATTGTTGTTGGCACAGGTTCAGCCGGATCAACAGCAACTACACTTAATAAACCGTTTGGAATTTTTCTCGATGCTCAAGTTAATTTATACGTTGCAGATTCTAATAATGATAGAATACAAATGTTTATTCTTGGACAATCTACTGGAATAACTGTAGCAGGAGCTAGTGCATCAGGAACTATTACACTTAATACTCCAAATGCTATCACATTAGATAATAATGGATATGTTTTTATTGCCGATACTAGTAATCATCGGATAATTGGGTCAGGACCCTACGGTTTTCGATGTTTATTTGGATGTACAAAAATAGCTGGTTCTGCAACAGATCAACTGAGTTCTCCAACCACTTTAAGATTTGATACTTATGGAAATCTATATGTTGCTGATAGAGGCAATAGTCGAATTCAAAAGTTTATATTAGCATCAAGCTCATGTAGTAAGTTGTTTTTAATTAATGTTTTCGATATTTTCAATTTATTTTATCATAGGTATCTCTTATAATCAACCAATATTTTGTCCAAATGCGACTTGGTCTTCAAGTGCTACGACATTTGCTACAAGTAGTACAGTTGGTACATTACCTTATGGTATTTTTATTGATGGAATCAATACTGTGTATGTACCTAAACGAGCTAGTAATACAATATTATCATGGCCTCAATGGAGTACGACAGCAACAAGTAAAAACTATAGTAATTTGAGTAATCCATATAGTCTTGTTGTATCTATAACTGGTGATGTTTATATTGATAATGGTTATCTATATGGTCGAGTAGATAAATATGTATTGAATACATTAAATCGCGTTACTGTTATGAATGTTAATGGAAGTTGTTATGGTTTATTCATTGATATAAATCAAAATCTATATTGTTCTCTTAAGAATCAACATCAAATTATGAAACTTTTACTTAATAATGGTACAACTATTCCAACAATTGCAGCGGGAAATGGTACTGCTGGATCATTATCAAATATGCTTAATTCACCTCAAGGCATTTATATCGATACTAATTTAAATTTATACATAGCCGATGCTGGCAACAATCGCATACAAATGGTTGGAACTGGTCAATTAGATGGAATAACACTTATTGGAAATGGATCATCAGTTAATTTTACTCTTAATTATCCAACTGGTGTTGTACTTGATTCAAATGGTTATTTATTTATTGTTGATAGTTATAATCATCGGATTGTTGCTTCTAGTCTTTATGGTTTTCGATGTATAATCGGATGTTCAGGTACTGGTGGCTCAGCTGCAAATCAATTATATTATCCACAAAGTATGGCTTTTGATAGTTATGGAAATATTTATGTCGTTGATCGAAATAATAGTCGAGTACAACAATTCACCCTACAAGGCAACAATTGTCGTAAGCTATTTCTCTTCTTCATTTTATTTTTTGTTTTTATTTAAAATCTTCTATGTTTTAGCTATGCCAACCACTACAACCAGCACTTCAACTACTTCTACTTCAACTAGCTCTTCGTCAACAAGTTCTACTTCAACTAGCTCTACTTCAACTAGTTCTACATCAACTAGTTCTACTTCAACTAGTTCTACTTCAACTAGTTCTTCGTCAACTAGCTCTTCGTCAACAAGTTCTACTTCAACTAGCTCTACTTCAACTAGTTCTACTTCAACTAGTTCTACTTCAACTAGTTCTACTTCAACTAGTTCTACTTCAACTAGTTCTTTATCAACAAGTTCTTCGTCAACAAGTTCTACTTCAACTAGTTCTACTTCAACTAGTTCTACATCAACTAGTTCTACTTCAACTAGTTCTACTTCAACTAGTTCTACGTCAACTAGCTCTTCGTCAACAAGTTCTACTTCAACTAGCTCTACTTCAACTAGTTCTACTTCAACTAGTTCTACTTCAACTAGTTCTTTATCAACAAGTTCTTCGTCAACAAGTTCTACTTCAACTAGTTCTACTTCAACTAGTTCTACTTCAACTAGTTCTTTATCAACAAGTTCTTCGTCAACAAGTTCTACTTCAACTAGTTCTACTTCAACTAGTTCTTCGTCAACTAGTAGTAGCAATACTTCGAGTAGTACTACAAAAACTAACACTACGACAAGCGACAGTAGTATCTCAGATACGAGTACAACAAGAGATAGCAGTAGTACTTCAAGTAGTATAGCAACTGTTTCGGTTACAACTACTTTAATAACTACTACTACTACTGACAATACAACACAAACGCAAGGAAGTATGTAATTTTGATTCATTTTCGTAGACTTTAATTATATTTATGTTACTTAGCTTGTTATTCTCCAACAATAACATTAATTCCTGGTGGATCAACATTATCATCACCAATATCATATCGACGTAGTCAAGATTTTTCTATTAGTTCAATGATTGAATTCAACTGTGCTGGTTCTCTTTCAAAAAAAATTCAATGGACAATTAAAAATTGTACTTCTACTAGTTGTTTATATGAAATTTTATTAAATAGTAAAATCAAAACAACATATAGTGAACTTTATATTCCCTCTCGAATACTTGATTATGGTGTATATGAATTAACATTAACTGTAACAATGATTAATTCACCTAAATTGAAATCATCATCTTCAGTTTATGTCAGAATAACTCGAACAGGTATAACAGCAAATCCAGTTCAATTAGGAACATCAATGATCACACGAGGTGATAAACAAGATCTTTTTCTTGATCCTGGTTCATTTTCCGTTGATCCTGATCAAGATTATTTTGATGCAACTGTAATTTATTTCGTCTATCTTTTGAAATGATATTTTGTTTTGTTTATAATTTTTATAGAAATGGAAATATAAATATTATTGTCGAATTTATAATCAATATAATTTTCCAAATATTCAAGGAATATTATTAACAATTGATGATTTAAGAAATGATCCCAATAATCCATCATGTCTATCAAATCGTACAGGATTAATCTTTGGAAATTCCACATTATCACCAAATTCATCATTAACAATTCTATCTGGTTCACTTCAATCCAATTCAATCTATCAATTTATGGTTTATATGGAAAATCGTAAAAACTCTACAATTCAAGCGACAGGTTATGTTCTTGTTACCATTGAAATAACCCGTCCACAATTAATTGCTGTTGGGTAAGTTAATTTTTCTGTAAATTGACTTTGTGATGAGTATTATTGATTATTTTAGTTGTGTTATTTCAACAATGTGTATTCCAAATCTAGAATTACAACTTTTGAATCCTACAACACAAGTTGCTTTATATACAATTTGTATTGGAATTTGTATAAATCTTCAAACAATTCATTGGAATATTTACCGAGGAATTGATAATTCGACATATACAAATTCAACACAATGGATTTTATTTAATCAAATTAATTCTTATGAAAATATTTGGTTTTTTGGTAAAAATACCAGTAATTTTACAGCATTAAATCAATTATTTCTTAATAATCCACAAGTAAATCTTTGGAGATTTGAAGTTGTTTACACATTTCAATCTGAAACAAGTACAAGTGCATTAAATTTCATAATCAATCAACCACCTACAAATGGTTCATGTTCAATTCATCCTCTCATTGGTACTATCATTACTTTATTTACTATACAATGTTCAGATTGGATTGATACAGATAGTATTAAAGATTATTCTTTATATTGTATGTACTAATACATTCCATTATTATGAATAATACGACTGATTTTTCTTATATTTTAGATTGGTCAAAAGATCAGCTAGAGAAAACAATGATTGCATTTTCAGTGGAAGAAGACTTTCAAGTTCGATTACCAGCTGATGATGATAATCAAACATCGATGATTAATCTTATTATCTATATTCGAGATCTTTATAATGCTATTACAGAAGTTAATATATCTTCTGTTTATATTACAAATGATCCAATATTAATTAATGATTTATTTAATAAAATAGAAAATTCATCCGATACAATAACAAATAATCCAATTGTTCGTATACTTTCAAGTGGAAATCAAATATTTGTTTCACAAATGATTATATCACTTGCTCAGTTATTAAATGAAATAAATGAAGAAAACATAAATAAATCTATAACAAGTATTTACATTTGAATTTGATTCTTTTATTCTTTCGAATTCTTTTTCCTTTAGATGGAATCTCACCTACTGATATCACAGTATCATTATTCAATAATCAAAAATTTCAACAAGTACTTCAATCATTGAATGAATCAACAATGATTGAATATAAGAAAACTTTAAATCTTCAAGCAAATATTCGAGAATATTTAGTTACATTTCTATCTGATCTTCTTATAACAACATCAAATAGTATTATATTACAGTCAACATCATTAGTTCAATTAACTCAATCAACAAATCAATTAACACGATCACTTCTAGTAAGAAAAAGTCACCTATATTTTTTTGGAAATAATTCCTGAAAAATTCTTTTAGACAATTGTATCAAATCGATGTTATGAACTATCATTAGATTTATATTCAATATCAAATAAAATTTCCTATGAAGATGTTCATTTAGCAGCTGATCAACTTTTTCAATGTGTATCAAATCTTTTAACAGTAATTATATTAATATCTATCCTTAATTTTGCATTTGTTTTTTTTATCGTTTAATAAAGAGTGTCAATGGACCAATACAAGAACGAATGATTATACTTGATTTAGATTATTCACGTGCAAATTCAATTCCGGCTGATTATGATACTGATTTAGAATCTGAATGGTCAAATTTAAGTAAATAAGTCATTTTTTTGTTCGATATATTTTTTCTTCTTCTTCTTAAGATTTATTTTCTAATGGAAATGATTTTTCTCAAGAAACAATTGAAAAAAATCGAAATCTTTATTATCAAAAACAAGCACAGAACCAAGTCAGCCAACAAACAAATCAATCACTTGCCTTCTTAACGTNATGAATTCATACATTACAATAAACAAGTCATTTTTCTATTTGATATATTTTTTCTTCTTATTCTTAAGATTTATTTTCTAATGGAAATGATTTTTCTCAAGAAACAATTGAAAAAAATCGAAATCTTTATTATCAAAAACAATTATTAAATCAAATAACAAATCAAGTTACACAAATCCAATCATTATTGACATCATCATTAAATATTCATTTAAATATTGGTCAAAATCTCTCAATAAATACATCACAATCATTTGTATTCTTAGAAACAATATCAATTGAATCATTAAATAATAAAATTATCAAACAAATTGAAAATTCTCAATTTAATCTTCCAAGTAGTTTGACATTTAATTCAACATCAGTATTACTTCGAGTAAGTTCGTTTTTCCAATTTATTTTAGAAAGAAGAATATCAAGTTTATTTTCTAGCAAAAAGTTGATCCACTTGCTTCGTATGGAAATTTTCAAAATACAAATCTTTCGAGATCAATATCACTTTCATTTATTGATAAAAATGGAAAGGAAATTTCATTTAAAACTAATGAAAATAATTTAATACAAATACGAATTCCACGTGATCCAAATCTATTAATTCCACCAATGTATCTTCAAGATGTTTTATTAAATGGAAGTTCTTTATTTAATTATCAATATATAAACATAACATCATCACTTCCAATATCAATTCATTTAGACATTCATCCATTAAATATCAATCTTTCCTATTTATTTATTTATAAATTTGACGAAAATCCACAATTAAATAATTCAATTTATCAAATTGATGGATGGACAATCTTCTGTTCCAATAAACATTTAACAAATGATTATCTTTATCAATATTTTCTTGATAATCAACAAACATTAAATCATCAATCATTAATTTATGGGATACGAGAATTAAATTCAACAGAATTTAATATTTATTGTTTAAATAATTCTTCTTCAATACCAATTATAGAAGAAAAAGTTAATTTTACTTCAAATTATGAAATTCGAATATATACATCAGGTTGTTATTATCTTGATGAAAATAATCAATGGAATTCAAATGGATTAATAGTTGGATCAAATACAAATCATTATGAAACAGAATGTTATTCAAAACATTTAACAACATTTGCTGGTGGTTTTATTGTTTTACCTGAACCAATTAATTGGAATTATATTTTTGCAAATGCTGATTTTGTAAAAAATAAAACAATTTATATAACAATTATTTGTACAATAATAATTTATATTATTTTATTAATTTATGCACGTTTTAAAGATAAAATAGATTTGGAAAAATTAGGAGTAATACCATTAGCAGATAATAATAAATTCGATAAGTATTTTTATCAAATTATCGTCTTTACTGGTCAAAGAACAAATGCTGGAACGAATTCCAATGTTCATTTTATTCTTGCTGGTGATGACGATCAAACAAACATTCGAACATTTTCAAGTTCACAACGAAAAATCTTTCAACGTGGTGGAATTGATGCTTTTGTTATGTCTGTTCCAAAATCATTAGGATTATTGAATTATATTCGTATTTGGCATGATAATTCAGGTTATGGGCCATTAGCATCATGGTATTTAAAGTATATCATTATACAAGATTTACAAACATTAGAGAAATTTTATTTTATTTCTCAACAATGGTTTGCAGTTGAAAAAAGAAGATGGAAAAATTGAAC